CTTAAAAGCAAACTCATATATACATTTCTTTAGTAAAAACAAAACTGTGTTTGTGCATAAAATTTCACGAATAATATTATCACGTTGATATTGCTACGCAAATAAATTACTTGATTATTCAAAAAGATAAAATTCAGCTCGTAATCTCGCACTAAATTCCACTTTATCTCTAATATTGCCATGTTTGTATACACGATAGGTGATATTTTTATAATAAAATCTCAAAAATTAGCTTTAAATAACAAGTTTATACGGAAATTTAATTGAAATACCTGACAAGAATGTTGACTTTTATCGTTATTTGTTGGTAACTGGTTTCCATTATTTTACTAATTACATATCAGGCGTTTTCTAACTTGAGTTGTTTTTTATATAAAACTAGTAGACTCGGCCAAGCGTTGCTGTGGCTAAGATTTTTGTTATATTACATAGTAGTACACTATTCAAGAGAAACGGCAGGAGAACACTAATCCACCATGCTTTTTTGGTGGTTATGCCATTAAATTGTAGCTTATGTGAAACGTTGGTACTTTCAACACGGCGCCATTTGTTAGAATTGTGACTATCAAATTATAAACAAATATTTTGCAATAAAATAATATTGCGGGTATAAATTGAGATGTAAGCTATCCTATCTTTTAAGTTGGATCAAACTACACACGGTGTGCAAATTTCATTGATATCGGTTCGGTAGTTTAGGGTCCATCGCGGACAAACAACGTGACACGTAATTTATATATATTAAGATAAATGTACAGCTACCAATGATAATTATTATTAAAGGAGTCCATTTGGTATTTGATAGCAGTCCACTTGGTAGTTCTATAAGTCCTATTTTTTTTAATAAACAAAAAAATACCCGTCGAATAGATTACCTCCTCTTTCGGGTGATAAAGTCATAGTGACTTCAAGCAGAGGTGGTCTAAATTTAACATCAGATGAACTCTCTTTTAGTCCTTATCCCTAAAAGCCTGCCTCTATGTTTAAACTATGTAATATATAAGTTTATATTAAATATAGAATTTCATAATTTTTTGTCAATTCCCAGCAAAACACTAACTCGTGACCAGTAAAATGCGTTCCATAATATAAACACAGTTGATGCATTTTATTCAATAACATCTCCACAAAAGAGGTCGAGAGTTGCAAAATCGTGACATTTGGATAGCTATTCCAGATAAAACAAAATAACGGTCACGATTGAATTATTCAGCCTGAGAGAAAGTTTAATACGCAAAACAAAGTTTGCTGTGATTTTTACTCTCGCAAAAACAATCAGAATCCAAGTGGCAAGACGCAATCTTTTTTACTAACTATAAATTCATCTAATACAACATTTAATAAGTTACTAAAGAACCGTAAGTATATAAATAAAAATAAAATAAAAAGCCTTTTTATTTCTTGCAAAAGAACAGAGTAAACTTAATACTATTTTTTTAATTATTTTTAAGAAAGTAAATTAAACAATTATTTGTATTATTCTTTATTTTATTTTTATTTTTTTTCCTAATTTTTGTATCTATTTCCCAATTATTATTTTGCAAGAACCCTTCCACAGGCGTAGGCCTCCCCCTCCCCAGGGATCTCCATGTATCTCGATTCTGGGTGAGCTGCATCCAGCTCGAGCCAGCCGTTTGAGCAATGTCGTCCGCCCATCTCGTGAGCGGTCTTCCTCTGTTTCTGTTTCCCATTAGGGCCACCCCACCTGGTCGCCCTTATGGTCCATCGATCGTCAGAGAGTCTTGCCCCATGACCTGCCCATCTCCATTTAAGCTTTAGAGCATAGTTTAGGGCATCAGTAGCTTTAGTAACGCTTCTTATTTTTGAGTGTCTTATTTTATTAATTTTTCTAATGTTAAGCATGCTCCGTTCTAGGCCCCTTTGACAAGTTCTGATTTTTCTTTTTATCTTCTCTGTATATTTCCAAGTCTGGCGCATATGTTAGACATGGCAAGAGACAGCTTGACATGGCTTTGGTTTTAAGTGTTACTGGCATATTGCTTTTTAAAAATGTCCTTTAGACTCCAGAACTTGTTCCAAGTATGTTGAATTCGCCTTTCAATTTCTAAATAGTTGTTGTCCTTTTCAAAGCTGATTTGTTTTCCCAGGTAAACATACTTGTTTGTATATTTCAGAATTTCTCTCATCGACCAATACTGTCTTTTCTACGAGTATACTGTTTGTCATTAACATTGTCTTTGTGAGGTTCATCTCTAGACCCTATCTTCTTGCTAGCCGCATTTAATGATTGAATCATGACTTGTAATTGTGAGCTTGATTCGGATACAAGCACTAAGTCATCAGCAAAGCGCAGGTGACTCAGGTATTTTTCGTTAATATTAAGGCCGCTTGTGCCCCAGTCTAGATTTCTTATTATCGACTCGAGGATGGCAATAAACAGCATAGGTGATGTCGGGTCGCCTTGTCTCACACCTCTTTTTATGGGAAAGCTTGGGCCGACTTTCTCTAGTTTGACTCTGCCCGTGTTGTTACTATATATACTCTTTAATATTTGTATATACTCCATCGCTACCCCTTGCTCCGTTAGTGCTTTCCAGATGCTTGCATGTGAAACGGAATCTAATGCTTTTTTGTAGTCGATGTAAGCGATATAAAGTGCTCGCTGTCTCTCTTGGTATTTTTCTATGAGAAGTTCCAGAGTGTGGATGTGGTCTACAGTTGAGAAACTCTTTCTGAATCCCGCTTGCTCCATTGGTTGTTCTGCATCTAGTATGATACTTATTCTTCGGTTTATAAGAGATGAGAATAGTTTGTATAAGCATTAAGCACGGTAGTAAGCTTATTGGTCTATAATTAGCAACATCACAGGGGTCGCCCTTTTTATAAATTAGTATTATATCTGACTCTGACCATTGTGTCGGTGTTTTAGCATTTTCCAAAATAAAGTTGAACAATTGAGTTAGCGGTACTGCCAGTAATGACTGCACTGATTTTATAGACTCGTTTGTGATGTGGTCTGAGCCAGTTCTTTATATATACAATTTAATTATCAAATATTTTTTTTATAATATAAACTTTCGTTTTGTTTTCTCAATTGTATTTTAAAATGTATATATAATTACACCAAATTGCATTGCCATCTATTAACGTCTCTAGAGTTTGAGTCGCTTAAAAAGAGAAGTGGAATGCGAATCAACAGTTAATTATTAATAAATATTTAGATAATTACAGAAATGTCAACCTAACAAATTAAATAAGTAAATAAATTAACGTAGTTCATCGCAGCTAACTTCCACAAAGCCCACTGCACTGATTCATTTACAGCCTCCGATAGCATCTCAGTTTATTGGACATTGTGCGTACGGTCTGATGCTTGATAAAGTGATATCAATGCTCACTACATTAATCAGCCTCTACCACACTGAAGCGTACAATGCAAAGACTTTTATTGCGTCCACCGCGAAAATTAAACACTACTCAGATCAAAGATTAGCCTGTAATTGGATTTCGATTGCAATGTTTTATTTATCGCGTCTGCCGCAGTTGAATTGTTCAAATTATAATTAGCCCTGTGATGCGTAAAGTAAATAAAGAAATTAGCTAAGAGGAATTGTAAAATCCTGTTCAGCCACCCAATGTGGCCAATTATTATAATTGGCTTAGGTATTTGCTAAGTGCAGCAGAATTTGTTGACGATCCATATAATAAATGTTTTCTTAGAAAAGGCTATAATGAGATGCACAGAAACTCTGTACGATTACGTCGGTACTCAAGTTGTCATGCAAAGTAACAATGAGTTTAATATCGTTGATGAGCAAAAATTGGCCTCTCATTTCATTGCAATGCCTCTTTCGTGTATGCTATTAAATTTAATGTAATATGGAAATTAATGTGCTCACTTCATCAGTGGAAAAGTTATTACATTCATCCTATAAGGACTAAACCAGGTTATACTTCAATTATACAAATGCAATATTGAAATCAAACGGATTTTATGTTACAAATGAAATATTATACAATGTGTATATTAAGAAGATTTTTGGGAACAATTTTATGATTAAAAATTTGTGATACAAAAGCAACTTTCCAATTTTAATATTTTACCTTTCTGTATATAGAATTGCTTTATTCATTTTTCTTTCTTTGGACAAATCAATTACATATATTGCTAATGAAATTGGTTGGTCCGAGAAGTGATAAGTTGAAAAACTTAAATTGCAATATCGCTTTGCCAGAGGCAACGACATGAACTCATATTCCCACACATTACAACGACATTACAGATTTATTTTGTCACGGATGATTACACTTCATTGTGCGCGAAATAATTTAGCAATTCAATTGTTTACCTTTATTTTAACGAATTAACATTGCTGTGAAATACAGAACACGTTGGATTTCAAAGTCGGTTTCTTTGCGTTTTTGAAGCCAATTTGACTCGCTGTTATTTTGACGTGTAACAAACACATTTATATTCCTAGCGTGAAGATTTATCTCCATAGGCGCCATTCACGTGGTTCTAAGGCGCAGGACGTAATTATAGAACTACTCAGGATTGCCATGAATTATTTCTTTTGCTCATTTCCTTCCAATACATAGAATTTCTTATATTATGGTTAATGTGATTAATGAGGCACTAGCAAGCGCTCATTATGGTACCAACTTATCAAGTTTTATTTAATTGGTTCCACAAAGCTTAGAAATAAATACTGGTCAGGTTAAGTTATATGGAATGTAGATTCCATTCCGTACTGTCTTAGGCTTTGTAAAAAATTGTATGTTTATGAGTATCGACATAATATTGCCCATATTTAGATCGAACCTCGTGGTAAAAGTGATCTATTCTGTAATGTGACGTTCAAATTATATTGCCTACGTTTAGTTGAAGTAAATAACTATGAAATTATATTTTACTTTACGATGCATATAAAATCTATATATACCTAGTGCAATAGTTTGATTCTAGCTGTGGATACCACTTCCTGTCAAGTATTATATTTAGCTTTCTTCAAATAATGAACGATAATTTTAGAGATTGTTTATTTGCAGATAGTGTTGGCGATGGCTCGTGCGAGCCGTCTTGAGAGGTGAAGCGCAGAGCGGTCGATGCGCGAGCGCTTAACGTATTGCGCACATTCCGGCACCATCGTGAAGTTGCAGGTTTCCTGTCCAAAAGTCAATTTTAATTAATTTTATTTGAATCAAACAATTATTTATTTCATAATATATATTTCTTTTAAACAATTATAGTTGTAGGTACGGTATTTAAGTATTTTGTTTGCCTTATGTTGCAATAACAAAACTTTTGACTTACAATAAGATTCTTGGATACCACGAATAACTCGTTATTAACATTATTTTAAATTAGAAAATTGGTTATTTATGTCTTGAACAGACGTTAAGAAATAGGAAATAATTACCTTGTAATGATTGAGTTGTACTTCTTTGTATGGCGCCGCCCAACCAGTAAAACCCGTTGCACCAATGCTGGCCAAAGGGTAGTGATTAAACGCTGTTAAAACCTTTCTAGTTAGCATAAAGCTCTTGCTGTAATATCCTATAGGGCTGATTGTGGCCGAGCTTACAATGTTTCGAGATAATTTTGGCAAATCTAAATTGTTTGTACAGTCATTTTCATCTTTCCCCATTTCGGTAATGTGCTTATTACTCTCTTTCTCTGTACTATGAAGATCAACTATTTCATTTAAAACTTCATCATCTATTCGTACGTCGTCGCGCTTCATATAAAGTTTCACCCTATTTCTATTATTACTAGTTTTATTATTCTTATATAAATGTTGCATAAAGTCAAAGAAAAATACATTACGCACTAATATAGCAGAGTGGTGATGAGGATCCCAACCTTGGAGAGGCAATCGTTTTAATAATCCATGCCAATTATTGGTTATTTTAGGAACTAGTACCTCGTCCACATCTAGGGGAACAATAAATTCAGTTTCTAGTATATTTCTATACAGACAGTCGTTATACGATACTAAATGATCTCGTCTCCTTTGCCAGAGGGAACGTCGAGCTGTATTTTTAATAGGAACTTGAAATAGTCTAACGAGTCCTTGGGACTGATAACGACGCAAGGTAGCCTCTGTATTTTTATTCACGCTATCGATGTAAAAATCGATAACCTCTGCGCCTAGAAGTCGATTCGTTTCTATCCACTCTATCAGAGACGAGGATATGTCCTTTTGAAAATTCATATCTTTGACACATATAGTAAACGATCTTTGATAGTTGTTATTTGTTTTTGGCCCGATATGGAATCCATTTGTCGGGTTATCGCAAGGCTCTGTGACAATCGACACGTCGGCCCTATTGTTCAAAGGTTCTGTTAGCGGACATGATAGAAGAAAGGGCGTTTCAACTTCGTTAGTCGATTTGTCCCAATCCTGCCACCAGATTTCTAAGGGCTTTGCAGCTACTACTTCTACGGAGTCACCGTCGTGAAGGACGCGCGTTTGACAGTAAAGATCTTCCAATGAAGACAAATTACGACCTGCGAAGATAAAATGTAATTTTTAAACTAGTTTTATAAATTTCATATTCAAATGACGATTCAAGACGGATGTATCTTATTTAAATAAAGCTCTGTGTTCGTGAGTCGCACAGGAAACTCGTTTGCAGAATTGGATGAAATTATGCCTTTGGTATTTAATATCTACTTGTATTCCTATAGGTAACAGGAACAAGATTACCGGACAGGGGCTAATATAATAGTAATTTGCTAGAATCATTTCCTTCGGTGGATCGCATAGCGGTGTCTTCCCGGGCTATCATTACAACGGTTTGTAGGCTTATGGCAAACAACAACTGTCCCTGTCATGTCGTTGGGAAAACACTTCCTGATTTAAAACCAGTTAGGTTTCAATTTTGCGATTGCTAGAAGTAATATAAGCATTTAAGTAGTTACAATGAAATTTTATGGTTGAGTAGAGTACCTATGATACTGTATTAATATCGTTGAAAGATATTTTTTTTATTTCCGTGGTTAAGGTGTTTTAATAACACAAATATGTATTTAGAATTGGTTTCTCGATACCGAAACGCTCGAAACGTTTCATTTATAATATCAATAAATATTCTTTTTTATCTAATACAGAGGTTTTATTTATCTAAAAACCACGTTATTTTGTTTATTGATACCAAAGCCACGATTTTAACGTAACAAATACTGCAGTATTAATCAATTTTATTTATTTTATTTTTAAGTAAAATAAATAATAATAATTTTATATATCTCTAATAGAAGAACCTCTATCTCCTATCCTTCTACTACTGTGGCTTTATGCACTTCTCTTAGCTATCCTTAGAAAGAGTTGCCTGGAACAGATCGCTTATAACTGATAAAGGCCGTTGCACTCAGCCTTTACATTGACTATCGTATTTTTTCATTTTTTTATGTGCACAGAAATGTAAATATCTAAATAATAAGTGTTTCTTAATACAATTTGTTACATCATCATACATAACAAATAAGTGAACAAAAGCGAAATAGTTGGCACAAAGTATCGTCGCAGGTGACATATAAATAAAGGCGCAAAGTACAAAGCAAAATTCTTTTCGTCCCCTGAGAGAATTGTCTTAAAAGGAAAAGGATAGTGGTGTTTTAATCCGAACGTCAGTACAATATAGGATAGGCGTTTATCTCTCCCGGGATGGAATTTACACGACGCCTCTCGACTCGAGTGACAAATGAGTGCCTGCTTATCGCCTGCGCCCGCGTCGCTTTCAAACACTCGCGTTTCAGGCCGTATGTTACCTCGATAAAGGGTATTTTACTCAGTTTATGCCGCATTTAGCATAATCTGATGGCTAAATGGGGTCAACCTGATTTATTTACCGCGATGAAAGCTGTTTCTGTCAGAAGACGCGAAAGACGTCTCATGTTCCAAAAACGTGCCAAAATCAACGAAGCATTCTCCTTATTAGTACATCTATGAAAGTGTGTACAAAATTTAAATAATAACTTTTTTAGTTCAAGTAATATAATCAAAGAGTTTGTTACATATCCATTGCACCCCCTTTGCCCCGCATAAGCAATACCTGTGCCCTTCTGAAGTAACAGCATCATAAAAGGAAGCGGACGATAGACATGCATAGCAGGATACCTCATATCGGGCCGGTCAAATCCTCAAATTAGTAATAAGTCTATAATATAGAATATAGTGCAATTTATCGTGCACATGAGGCCGATTAAATTGTCACATTTAATTAAGTCCAATAATTGTAATAGTTTGATTAAATTAATTTAAATAACGAAATAAAAAAAAAAAATATATGTTTTTTTTTGGGTTCCCCCTCACTCAATTAGTTACGAAATAGTCCTTAAGTACAGAACATACTTAACACAGCAACTTAACCACGGAGGCTATTTCTAAAATAGTTTTACGGGTACTAAGGGTCTTAAATCTTGTTTTGAGATTGAGATAAACTGTCATGTTCGAAAATAAGCAGTAGTTATTCATTATGTAAACATTTTTTAATAAATTTATCTGACACATCGGGGCTATGCGCCCACGGGCCATGGCTGAATCAATAACACTCGTCAACCGAGGCGTCTAGATCTTAAGATGTAATGTAATATTAATTAAGCTTGTTCTATATCTAGCAAATTAACTTTACTCAGACGCTTTTCAATGAAGATTAAGCTATTTATAAATTATTATATATGCATTATTTTATTTATTGCAATGTCAAATAAACTTATTCAATAACTCACGAAGTTTATTATATATAGAAGAACTGAGTGTAAACCAAACTGATAACGTATAGAAACTTTTTCTTAGTATTTCTGTTTTTACTTCGCCTACGCCTTTAAAACGGTTTTTAAAACGTTAAAATATTTTATGATTTACAGTGTCTGTCTATGAATTACATGCTACTATGGATGTGTTTTCTACATTACAACATACAAATATTATTTCTCCTTTTTCCAAGCTAATTTAAACAGTCAGTATTGAATAAATTTCGAAATTCACTGACATTTTTAATATAAAGGTAAAATGTAAGATGGTAGTGGTGGCGATAACACTGGGACGGAAAATATGACATCAACGTAAATTTGCCCGCATATAAAGTACCTTAGGCTGTAGTGGGCAGATTTTTCGATACGGCTCACTCTATAGTCCTCAATTAATTGGTTTTCTTTATTTATACGACAAGCAAAATGCGTATGAACGAACAGTTAGATCGAATCTCGTTTAAAAGAAAAGCTTTATTGAAGAATGTATGTGGATGATGAATTGTTAATACAGGACATATTTTTGACGGCAGCTTAATTATCTTCAATACTGGAAGTTGGTATTTATTCTGTAAGCCTTATCTAAAGACGAGAACAGAATTTGCTCCTTATCATTTAAAAATATTTTTATATTATGTCTTTCTTATATATTTGATTTTATGAAACAAATGTGATATTATAAATAGGTATAAGTCTTCTTGCAGACATTTTGCTTTTACTTTTCACTCTATTTGCTTTCTTATATGTAAATAATATAGCGTATTTCTTTTGGATATGTAGCAGACATTATTTAGTAATACGTAATAATTATTGTTGTTAATATTGTCTTAAATCTTTTTTGATTTGCCATAATATTACCAAGACTGTCGAGAACTATTTATCATTTAAACCTAATTAAATGAAACGAAAATTATGCACGACTTACTTTTGGAATTAAAACCTCAGCGCCTATTTTTTCTTTAGCTGTCATAAACAAGAGCTAATGTACCAGAGTCATGTTCCATACTTATATCATTACGGAGGCATTTGGAGTATGTCCTTACTCACCGTGGAAAATGGCGAGAACGCGTACGTAGTGCTGTGGCGCCCTCTCGTCGTAATACGCAGCATATAATGACACTGGAGTACCTTCTACTCGTTGCCAAAGGGCTTCTGCAGCATGGGGTGACCACGTGCGGTTCTAGAACAAAAGACATACATAACTTTAAAGCTATCGTTGTCAGGATGAGTGTTGACACAATTATGTTTAACTTGGCTAATCGATTATAAATAGGAATATATTTGTTCTTAATGCGTAAAAGTAGTATGGATGTGTATTTTAAGAACTTTTTTTTGCAGTATAAACTTCCTTAAATTATGAGTTATTATTATATACCGAGATGTACGTAATCAGAAAAAAGACGTTTAAAAAATTAATATAATATTGACCATTAAAAAAATATAGTAGATATTCAAAACACAAACTTTACTTCTAATAAAGTCTGAAGTGGTTTAAATTTACATTAATCGTATTCCTTAGCTTTCGAGAAAGTATATGTAAAACCTGATTTATTCTAAGTAATTTGAAATGTATCCAGCGAAATAGTACATTCAGATTTAAACTTTATATAAATGAATTAGAGTTTATTATTTCATAAAGTTGTGTTAGAAGATGGCTTTCAGAAAGGCTTTAATGGTGAAGGAGTCGTGCTTGATTAGCCATTGTGCTTTCTATAAACATCAGAGAGCTTTTTGCAAAGCTCTTTCTCTATTGTTGAACTGGGCAATTTATTTATAAAATACTTAATTGGATTTTAATAGTATGTTAGCCTTTAAAGTAGCAATTAATTGTCATATTTTCATTTTCAAATCTAAAAAATAACAATGAATTTCTAATGGTTTTGCATTGAAAAATCAAGCATTTTAGATGGTGGTTCGAATTTATTAATTAAATTACGAGATAATACGAAGTTATTTTAACTCTTTAGTTTATAAACAATTTAAATTTTTACTGTGGTGTGTGGTGTGCCCTTCAAGCACCAAGGTTAAACCCCTTAGTGCTTTTTTTTGTGTTTTCTGTACTTTTAGATATACTAAGCAATAATAAATAATACAAAAATTATGTTGGATCTTTAATTTTATAAATTAAGCAACCTTTGAGCTCCAAGGCTTTTGGAGTTAAAAATTCCCTTTAATAAGTTTTAGTTTAAACTGTCTTTTATAAGTAAGTTTGTGTTAAACACTTTATTAATATAAATTATATTTTAATGGAGTACATCTTAATAAAACATGAAGTGTGCTAAGTGATCTGTTGAATGCAATTAAATAGCTAACCGTCCATTAATGGCGTTGAAACTACGCAGTTACCAATTAAAAATTAAGAGATTACTAAATGTTAATTAAATGTATATAATTTGAGAGTATTATTGGTAATTGTCTGTTTCGATATACATCATATAAACATTTATTTGCTAAATGTATAATAGTCACATTATTTATTTATAAATTATAAATAAATAGATAAATCACTGGCGCTACAACCTTTTTAGGACTGGGCCTCAGATTTATGTATCTGATTCATGATCATTTGTCAATCTAATAGTCAAGTGGGCAATCAGCCTCCTGTACCTGACACGCGCCGTCATCTTTTTGGGTCTAAGGCAAGTTTCTCAGTATGTTTTCCTTCACCGTACGAGCGAATGTTAAATGCGCACATAGAAAGAATGTCCATTGGTGCACAGCCGAGGGTCGAACCTACGATCTCAGGGATGAGAGTCGCACGCGGAAGCCACTAGGCCAACTCTGCTCCTGTTTTATACATTATAACGACATAAAATACAATTATAAGGGTTGTAGATTTACATAAACCAACTAATAATTGTTTAGGCATTTAATATAAAATTTATCTTTTTCCTATTTCATTATTTAATAAAGATACTTCATACATTGTTGAGAAACTTATTCTAAGTTAAGGATACGAAACAGGATCGTTGTTATAAAAGTAGTAACACAGCAGTGCAAGAGTGTATAAAAAATGCTTACGTTCGATACCTTCAATACTAATTTGGCTCCGGTCATGTTATATAATTATTACAATCAAACATAATTCCATTAAGCACAAAGAAAAAAGTGATTGGAGTCTACATAGCTATAATTATTTACAAATCTTAAGAGCAATGTTATAAATCAAACTACTTTGATTTGAACTTAAAAATGTATTGAAATATTTGTGACCGAAAATATGTACCGTTCCTGTGAATTTTTAATTTGTTTTGTTCTTATTTCATGTATCAAATTTAAAATGACACAGCACATTGGACGTTTCCCATACTTTCTATTATAATACATATCTTTTAACATACGTAAAAATGTTTTTATCACATAATTATGATTCAAAATAATTGAAGTACAGATAGAGTAATCGCGTTTTATACTTGTACGTTTTATGCTTTTAAAACTTTATTAACGAATACTTGGTTGGCTTCTTAATGCTTAATAGGCGACATAATATTACACTATTTTATGTAATATATTCTGAATCTCTCACAATTGTTAGCGTTTGTGTGCGTATCTGTGTCGGTGGATTGTATTAGAAATAGCTCAGGAATATTGATTTCTGGTTTTGCATCCACTGCGATAGATTATCACTATCATTGCAAAACGAGTTTTACTTGCAATGAGGGAAGAACACGTCGTGATTTGATAGCCATATAAAGTATTCCATTCTTGACGCTATGTGAAAATATATTTTAGTCTTTTGGGGACGTCGCGTCGTTTTGAACTTTGCCATAACTTTATCACAACCTTCAATTATCAAATAAGCAAGTGAGCTTATAGATTTGATTACCGACGAAATAATTATCATCTATATTTAATTTATAACTTGTCGTATGTCAAAGTCGGTGTTAGAAGCCGTCTAGAGAAACAGACTTATAATGTTGTGGCCTCACAAATAAATACTCAATGTACGCAAACGCAAAAGACCATATAGTTTATAATTACACAAGTTTAATGTCACGCATATAAATAATGATTGACGAAAGTTCCAATCTCCTAAACTAGAAAGCTACTTTTTATTTTAGCATATGTTTTTGCTTCTCTTGCCTTTCTGCACAAGTTTCTTCAATAAATTAAGTAAGAACTGTAAGATGCCGAGTTTGAAGCATAGCTAATAGTGAAAACGTTGATTTGGTCAGTTCAACTAAGAAGATATACTTTTTGATGATACTTTCTTATGCATCGGTCATCAATAGTCTTTTCCTCCACGTTGATCTTTTAAAAAATAGATAAAGAACATGAATAAATTTAGATTTTTTAAAACGAGAATTTGTTTTACTCCCAACTAAGCGTATCGTTTATTGCGTAAAAGTTAAACTAGTAAGAGAATCAAGACAAGATTAATTAGTTTAATATCGGCATTTTATGTTGCATTACAGTTAGGTGTAGGGTTGCTTTTTACTGTTGAACTATGCCAATTAGTCTTGAAATTACTGTGCATTCATGCGTTATTTTTGAACTTTAACAAGGAATATTTTAATAATATGTAAATAGTTGACTCTATTGCCTGCGTGGTGAACAAAAAGTATATACTTTTCTAAGGTCGTCTCTATTTATGGTTTCAATTTATAATAGTTATACACCGTGAGTAGAATGCGGGAAGTGCTCACAAAGTATAATTCATAATGCATCGTATTTTCTTGGTAACGTTTATATACAATACCTGGATGCATTATTTAAATAATATACTATCTCAACTTCATAATAATAACGAAAACTTAAATTTGTACGCAAGTTTTATAATAAAGTAGTTCGCTCACATCTTGGTGAAGCTAAAATACAACAAAACCATTCAAACTTTCAAGCTCAGATTCACGCTTCCTCGTGAATTTAGTATTTTTTGACTTCACTTTTGGCTTATTACCTGGAAGGAAATAAACACGAAGAAGTAAAAAATTATACAAAATATAAGAAAATAATCAAGTAATTCGAAGATCTCCGGACTTAGGAAAAGAAAGAGCGAAAAGAGCGTACCAATTCCTGAAAGGCTGGCAACGCACTTGCGAGCCTTCCGGCAATGTGAGTGTCCATGGGCGACGGTATGACTTAATATCAGATGAGCCTCCTGCCCGTTTACCTCCTACCACTTAAAAAAAATCTTTCGTTCGATTCGCGAAGAAAATAATGCTTTTGCTAGGTGATATGCTGATCAGCTACCTACTAGTAAAAATGTTTAATCAGATGCGCAACATAGACAAACATTATATATACATACATATATGGAACCATATCATATACGAGTATGTTACATGTTTTTTCAAATGGTTTTCTAACAAATAGTGTTAGTCTGATAGACATTTTATTTGTTTCTAGTGTCTTAAAAGTGCATTGAGCCAGGAAGTAGCCCATGTATATTTACACAGCATTTGAATGTATAATGAGGGGTATCGCAGAAATTATGCAAACTACGTATTGTCTATACACTTGGGCCAATTTAACATCTCCGATTAAAGATTAGATTTGCCATGAAAATTTCCATAATTCAAATATAAATATTTTTCCATTTCCTATAATGTTTTTTTATTTCTTTCCGATGCATTAAAACTAAGCTAAATAATTAACTAAGCAAAAATATTAAACTAATATTTTTTCTTACTAGTGATAAACTTCCTATAAATTCTAGTACGAAACAATTGAAATTAATGCTGAAAATGATTATGAGGATAACTAACAATTTCCGGTATGACAGGGTAGTCCGGAAGTCGGTCACAAGTGACAGGAGACGGTCTATCCATTTCCGCCTGCTTGCCTTCCGAGTAGGCAACAATCGTCTTCATGGTGGAGTATCTCCGTTGTGGAGGATTCCAGTGCGATCTGGCATTCCACTCGTTGACACATGCGATCCAACTGACACAGAAAACTGTAACACCAGCCAACAAATACTTGGTCACTCTAATTCCCTTCCTAGTCGAACACATTTTTGGTACTAAGTCTAAGGTCTACACCATTCGAGCGCTGTGCGCATGCGTCCCGTTTGCCCTACCATGGCGAACTGCGTCGGATCAGCTGATAGCGTATCAGCCCTTGCGTTTTCTAAGCAAAGCTAGTTTCTAGTTTTATGTAATCTTACGCGGAACAAGAAATTGTTGTGTTATTTGTCCTCCTCCAATCATGAAGGATGGATTTGATATGGTTCCATAATTGCGGACTTCACGTATTTCTTTGCATATCGTTAATCAGACATAGCCGGTCCTGTGACTAATGAATTAATTGGAATCAATTAAATGTGTTATTTTTGAACGTTTGTGTTTATTTTAAAAGAAATAATAACGTATTTGTTATAATTGTTTTTGAGGATATTAAAAACGCAATGCACGAGGTCTAAAGAAATAACGATAACATTTTTTACTTGTGCTCATATTTTATAAGATGTTCTCAGAAGTTAATATCCGTAATTGGTTTCTTATAAGTCGATCCACCCAAAAATTAGGCCCTATAACTCACTATCATGGGAGGAGTATTCAATATTTTCGTCTTGATAATCAAAAATAAACGGAAAGGGATTATCTTGTTACTTTGTGTGTTTTAAGTGCCATTCTCTCTGATGTTTAAAAAAAATAGCTTAAATGTGTCGTTAAAACAGAAAAATATTACAACAATAGCATATCAGGATCCAGTCACAAGAAATTCCGCTTTACGCTTTATTAAGAACATGAAACCTTAACAATCTTCATTGTAATAAAGGCGGCAAATAAACCCTCAATCGTAAATAACTTACGACAATTTAATATACACATCACGATTTAAACGCTTTTTCAATAGCTCCAGATTGCATCTGAGTATTAATTTGATTCAGCTACTGTGCGAAATAATTGTATGCCTTTAAAAACACTGATCGATTGTTGTGAGTACTTTTATTTCTTAAACTCGGTACACGAAGGTTGTTCTTTATCTTTTTAAGGAAATTTGCAAATACACTTTTTGGGGGATGGACATATATCTTTGAAAAGTTTCCTTTTTATCATTGTGACGGCTTCGATATATAATATTAGCTTCACAATTCAGAAAAAAACTGCTAGCTGTACGTTTTCTTCGTCTAAGAAAATAAATTTGTGGTTGCGTTTTTCATTAGTTATGATAATATAATAATAATGCATCGTTAATTTGCAAAGAAAATGTTACATTCATATTGATTGATTATAATAAAAAACGCACACTCAGAAATCAAATTAATTATCATAATGATAAATGAGTTAATATTTTATTTATAATCATCAGTCTTGATAAAAAATATATACTTTTTTTTATACAGTTTGAATAATTTCAAATCAATTCTTTAAACAATTATTATAATATTGCAATTTCTGAAACAATTACACTCAATGAAGGATAAAATTACTTCCTGTTTAAGAGTTAAGCCGCACATAAGCCTGTTCCACAAATAAGCAGTTACGCTAAAGACGCCGATTGTTATTTTGCGGTTGCCTTCGCTGTTATAATGTAGTGGAGTCGATTAACCGGACTCGATTTGCTATGGCTTATTCAATTAAATCAAATGTACTTGTATAAACTGTGCTATATTTCATGAAATTAATATACAGTAAAATCGAGAATAGACAAAAGCAAGAAAGCTTAACCAAGAAACAATTTGGTATTCGATTGTATTATTTTTTTATGGATACACAAAGTGCTAATCACTTAAATAATATTATTTGGTTAAGAAGTTGTCGAAAGACTCGTATTGAGGCTATTATTTCTGAATGTTACTTGAACTTTTTACTTATGTTAACTCGTTATTTAATTTCCTTATTAACTAGATGTTGATAAATTAATTCTCATTCAACAGAAAATGCAGTACTATTTGTAAGATACAAGTTGAATAATGTATAAAACAAATATAAAGAAAGTGTAGCAGAGCGAATGTGACAGGTTACAAGGAATAGAAATGCAGTGTTTATCAGGCACGGGCATCTTGTTCGTTAGCTTAGAGCTCGTGTTTGTGGCCTAGTGCTAGTCCGACTGTTGAACCCTCTATCGGCGTTAGACCCAACTCTAGGGTTACCGCAGATCTTAACATTTATTAATTAAATAGACAACTTGTCCGTTTTTAGGAGATCTTCTTTTGGCCGTTGGCGCGTTAGGGAAAAACTATGAGGATAAAATTTTTTAAATGCGCGCGCATACCGTCACAAAAAAACGACACCCTGAAGTTAGCGTAGTCAACATTTTAAAATAAAAAATGTCCATTTCTTTTTTTATAATGTAGAAATATTTTTTTATTTTTTATTTAAATAAACTTTATTAAACTAGATAATGAGTTATAATAAAACTTTCAATGTATTAAACACCCTTTTTCTATTGTTAGTGTCGTATTTCTACAAAAGTAGAATAATAAGAATTTTGAAAAGATTTTTATCTTGTTACGCCAAAGAAGTATAACTTATAACGCGTGTACATAAGTACATGTTTTTTTTTAAATCCCATTCAACTTTTAAAAGAATGAAGATAAATTTATCCAGCAACGCACTTTGCAACACACAAGAGCATTGAGAGTGTCCATGTCCAGTATCACTTTACACCAGTTGAGCCGCCTGCCCGTTTGTTCCCTGTTCTATAAAAAAGTACACAGTTGATTTTTCGTAATAGTTTCGTTCTATATTACATACGTAAGCAACAAAACAAAAAAATAATTAGCCAATCAATCTCATGGTTGTGAGAGCCACGAAAATACAAATAGCATAGCACTTTAAAGTAAACTGATGTGGGGTTCCACAGACAACATATGTACAAACGGAAATAAGTAGCAACCCTGTGGTCGTCTCTATATCCGATATGAGTAGTTTCTGTACATTGTTCAAAATATATGAGATGAGAATAAATAAGGGTATCAATAACACTTCGTGATTATCCTATACCCACTGATTTCCAGGAACATCTTTTCCAGTAGATGCCATTTATTATAATAAATAATTCATATATTAAATTAAAAAAACTATAAGTCGGATATCGAAAATCATTACAATGCCACACTATCCCTAAATAATACACGCTATATTTATTTTAAAATTATATAAAAATATAAATGTTCAGTCGCGTGAAAACGAAGCCGACCGCTGTTATAAAATAAAACTTTAACATGTAACATGCAACACAAATGTGTCCAAATGACGAAATATATTTATTAAATGCGTAATGTTATAAAAAAAAGATTAGAGATTTAATGAAAAAAAACTGTAAATAGAAATAAAATGCGCCTACAAAAACCTCAATAGCAATTTATCTAAAAAAAAAAATCTTGTAGTAATTATCACAATAATAAACACAGTAAAAATAGCGATATGGAATACTATTAGTAATAGAACATTAAGCTTTGGTATAGTATATTCGAGAAGTTATAACCACAGATTGTTGGTACTGTCAGCAAAACTTCTCCTAAATATCTTTTAGAGGCATTGAAACCAAAATAAACACTAAAATGTCATCTTTTAAAATTTAATGCCATGTGTGGCAATTAAAAAAATCATAAACGCTAAGTTCAGACAATGAGAACAATTGACTCGAACGAAGTCTTTGATTTTGCTGACAGTCCAAATGGATTTCTTGACAACTACCCGCTAAAATAGCACGCGAAAATACCTAAGTATGACTTTATTAGCTTTGGCACTAAAAGAGTCGCATTGACCATGTCCTGTCAAGAGCTATAGAGGCTTTAATTAATGTACGGGTGAACGTAATTGATGCTATACGTTCAGGATTTTTATACTCTATTTCAACCAGTGTGGGTTTTATGTGGGGTAATAGTAGGTTGGCTGGAGATGGATTACTGTTTGGACGTGTTAATTTAAGTTCCATGTACGTTTTTTTGTATATACATATAATAAACGTAGCCGTCGACTGTATACTGAATATGTTTTAAAGTATTTTAAGCAATAAAATCATAAAGAATTATTATCGGAACTTCTCTTAAGTTTTATTTCTTGGAGTATTTATAATGAAGAAATTTCCGGTTTTTGTATTACTTATAACTTATAATAATTATTATCCAGTGGCACTATAACCCTATATGGGTCTGGGCCTCAAATTGCACCCGTTTATACGATTTTTAGGTTTGAGACATACCGGTTTCCTCACGATGTTTGCCTTCACTATAGAAGCAATTAGTGCTAATTGCGCAAATAGAGAGAAAATTTTATTAGTGCACAGCCGTGATTAGAACGCAAGATCTTATTAATGTGGGTCGCATAAGCCACTAGGCCAACACTGTTTCTATTTTAACTGTGATTTTTTTAAATTTGTTTCAATGCAGCGTGCGAAACCGTTGCCGTAAGTAGTAAAAATATAATGATGCTTATGTATCGACCCGATTGGCTATATCGATCTAAATAAAGGTGATCACGAAGCGTGAATCCGTATCATTAAACAAATTATTGTTGCTTTTTTGTGATTCGAGGTAATGATATAGTGGCCAGGATATTACCATTGAAGGTTCGAGACTGTATTACCGCAATACCACTGATAATAATAAGTAGGTAACCACTTAAACCGATTTTGTTCAGTGGTCTGTTATATTCGATTAACCGGGGTGTGTACTCTCACACAAGAAAAAAACGTGTTAGAAGTTATACTTCTTTGGCGTAACAATCTTTTGCCTTATTCTACGTTTGTAGAAAGAACGACACTAACAATAGAAAAAAGGTAGATAGTTTATTTAAATATCACAAAATAAAATGTTGACTATAGCTAGCTTCAGGGTGTCGGTTTTTTGTGACGGTGTGCGCGCGCATCGTAAAAATTTACTCTCATCATTTTTCCCTTACGCGCCAAAAGAAGAATAACTTCAAAAAGGAAGTACAATATTTCTTTTAAATAGAGGTCACTACGTACCAACCTAATAAAAACCCGTATAACAGCTAAGATAGACTGACGATAGACTAGTTTTATTCAGTGGCAATCACGATAATAGTAATACTTTACACTT